GGATTCAAATTGATTTTAATAGGATTCAACCTTTGACCTATCAGGAGATGGATGCATGTATGCCGTCATCGTTAGCAATTTTCTTTTTCATGCACTGGGCATGAGTCTGTCAGTGTCATCTTACAGCTATCATTTACTTCCCACAATATTTACGGTAATATTAACCCTGTTTTTCCACAAACCGCAGATTAGCTCCCCTATTAAAACAATTTCGTCGAAATGGAGGACCGATTCAACCTCAGCATTCTTTTTCTAAGCGCTTACAACTATAATGCCCAATCCTTTTTTCTTCTTTGTTGCTTTCTTAGTGGTGTCAATGGAGTTTCGGAGAAGTTTCACTGTTGAACTGGATCCCAGCTGCAGAATTAAATCGAACTCAGCCTTGTCAAGCTCTCCTCCATAGAACTTTTTCATTGATTCGATATGAATGGTGGCTTTCACTTTCATATTTATGCCAATAACCTTTTTCCTATAATGTTAAGCGTTGAGGAATTTGGAAAAGAGCTCTTTCTGCGATTCTGCACTTCGGTGCTTGAGTCGTGCGATGCTGTTGTCAAGTTTGTCTCTTGCTCACCATTGCTGGCGTCTCTCCCTCGGAACTCTCTCATCCTGAATTATTGGTCATATTTTGGGCGTTGAGCTTTACGAAGCCAGTGCAGTTAACGTTTCATAATTCCTTATCTTTAAGATAGCTTCTTCGAGATTTCACGTCGATAAACAGTATTACGCTACTTGTAGATGTAACGCTCATCTTGTAAGTTACATTAACATTATGGAATTGAATTGGCTATCCGAAATTCCATTGTTCAATCAAATGGACCAGGTCTCTAGTGACTGATCCATTGCCCTTATTGATAACAGAAGAACCAGCAAATGACAAATCCTTGCACAGTAGCCAGGAGGGAATCACACAAGGCCTTGAAACAAAACGTCTCTTTCCTATCTTCATTTTATTTGCCTTACTGGCTTACTTTTGCGGTGACTGCCAAAAAGGAAATGGAATTGATTGCTATGCT